TAGAAGGAACAGCGAAACAGTGCCAAAATGAATTAGCATTCCTTTCCCTCTCCCTCCTTTTTTTAGTTTTCTCGTTTGGGGGTTAAATCCTTTATTTTAGGGGTTATAAACACACAGTGGCACTTCACATGGGGAATGAAGATCCATCCACTGAAGCAACTGATTCCCTTGGTACTCTAAAATGATGTACTTTCACTCCTCACCGCGATGCATTTAACTTTAAAATGTGATTTCTTCGCATGCGCACGATGAGTCATGTGCGTGCATGCACCGCTTCTTTTTGAAGATTTAAGGTTCTTGGTGGTGGGGTGGTACCCTTTGCTTCTCCTGGTTCCTCCATTTTCAAAACCTTCTTGCATACTTAACGCCTGCAATAATGCGATGCTTTGGTTCCTGCAATTTTCCTTATCGATTGCAGCGATGGGGCGAATGCCGAGCATGAATTTACGAGCGTCGAGGAGATATGTCTCCCTGCAAAACGAGACGTAGGCAAGAACTCCACAAAGCATACATAACATGTTGTGAAATGGTTTGAATCAATGATGTGTATTGAGCAATGTTGTCCATTAATTCTCTATTTGATGAAAGATGAGGAAAATTTACCCTGCGGCTCAAAAATTTGTCAGAAAACATGCAAATCAGAAGGATCTATCTCATCATCATGTCAATCGTCTAAAGTGCCTATTTGATAGAAATGCGATTATACCATAGCTATTGTGCATCATAATTAGCACTGTGTGGTCCGATTCATGCGGGAAACGGTCCGATCACCGGTCCCAAACATTGGGAATCGGTACTGTGCAATCCAATTTCGGGATCAGGGTGTTAAACCAGACCAGTGGACCAACCCTACACCGATCTTGGACTAAACCCATTTCAATTATGTTTGTTGTTGTTTTGTTTTCAAATAATTAGAATTTGGAGCAATCTTCTACGGATAAATGAGGAATAAAGTTTTATAAATTATGTTTTATGTTACGTATTATGAACTATTTATTGTTAATTTTATTTTGCGTGTTTATGTTTAATGGCTTGTTAAGTATCCCCATTTTGTTGCTTAGTATTGCGGTTCTAAATACTGTGTGATAATAGATATGTACAGAGAGTTTATCATATCAAGAAATATAAAAATAAAAAAAGAAATCCAAAAAAAATGAATTGGCTAGTTCATTGGACCAACCTTAGAATCGGATCAGACCAACAGGGTTGGTACCAAGATTTATAGGGTCGATTCCATGTTTCAAAATCTGGAAACTGACCCTATGCAAGTAGGTTCTAGGTCCCAAGGTTGGACAAACCAAATCTAGAAACCGCTCACCCTTAATCGTAACTATGTTATGCAATCCTATTCCTAATTATTTATCCATTTGTTGATACATATTTTAAAGTTGCAACACCTTAAAACTGGGTAAAACAACTTTTCTAAAAGTTGCTACAACTGTGAAAGTTGTTGTAACTCCAAGAGTTTGTCAAACACTTCAAAAAAGTCTGTACCATCTTTTAATTATTGTTGGATGAAAATTGTACGAAGCAGGCTTTTAGTAGTCTTTGTTCGTGGACATAAAACACACATATTAAAGAAATTAAATTCGATAAATTATGATTTATAGACTGAGGGAACAGACAATAAGCCAGTATTCTAATAAATGACATATATGACACTAAGGAGTCTGGTGCTGTCTAAGCCAACTTTCGCATCCATTAATAACAAAGTGCCACACCGTGTGATAATGTGTGTATTTTAAGTCATTCTCTTGAATTCGAAACTTAAACAATGACATTGCTGCAACTTTGAAGAGTTGCTGTAGTTACGAGGTGCTTGTCAAACACCTAAAAAAATAGTAGAATCGTTTTACAGCGGATTGCAAGAAATCTGCACCGAGTAGATTCTAATTACTTCTGTTCGTGGACATATTAAATAAATCAAAACTCAATAACGACACTGACAATATTACTAATGATTTATAAAGCGACGTAATAGACAATAAGTTGATACTTGTTGAAAATCAATCTTGTTATTTACTAATCGATCACGGAGTGTTCTTTCTATCGTTCTTCGAATCATAACCCATCCATGTTACCTTTCGCAACAATCTTAGAGGTGATTGGATTGAATTAAAGAATTCGTCCCCTTTAGTAAAAAGAGTTCAGGCGACAGGTTAGTAAGCCTAACCTCCAAAGACTAAATCCAAAGGAAGTTTCTTCACAGAGGATTAATGAAATCGATTAGTGCTTGCTTTACCACAACAACTAAAGTTAAACCCCAAAAGCCATGCATCCATACTCGGCCTCCTTAACCTGCCTAACTGGAGCAGAAAAGGGGGTGAGATTAGGCTGAGATTTCGGGACCATAATCGGGGTTTATAATTCCCGTAAGGGAGTTGACAATTCGAACAAAAGGCCACTACACGCTGATTGAGGTTCCCCTACATCTTAGGTAGGGGTTAATGCTTTTGCTCGTACGTATAAAGTCTTCGTAGGGGCCCCACGCGAGTGTCGGAATTATTGACTGTTTTCGATGACATTTTTATTATAGGTCACGTACTCAGAAGACTGATGACTTCTTCCTGCTGTCAATGTCATGGAAACCCCCACCAACCCCACGCTGCGATGCTCTCTCATGGGGAAGGTACCCTCCACTCCCACACACCACCGTCACCCGCCCTAGCTTGCACAGTCAAATTCTATCTATGGTTTTTTCCATTGTTGTGAAGAGGGAAAACAATTTGACTTTTCAAATATATTCTTCGAAGGAGGGGGATGATGTGACTGGCTGTGTAAAATGTAAATGCGACTGTGGCATGATTTGGACATGATATGAGAATCGGAGAAGCAGCACACACCCAGAAACCCTAGGAACTACACCTGCATTCCCAAATTAGATTGAACCCCTCATGCACAATCCTGGCCTTGTCAGAATCCTTAATGTTGCTTCATTGTGAGAACTGTGTAATGAATGAATGAATGTCCCTCTCTTCTTGCACAGTGACATTGTCTCATCAATTTCCACGACGTGTGACCCAGAACCAGAGAAAGATGACCACACATGCGCACACGCACTGCACTCCACACCAAAGACAGCGACTGCAGTAGCTTCCTTCCTCTTCTTCCTCGGTCGTATTTGCATGGAAATTTGAAAGGAGGACCCCAGACTGAGAGTAAGGACCCTACGCTGCACAGGCGCACTACACAGGCATGCATCATGATGCGACTTTTTTGTTTTATCCTTTAGCTTCGCATGCTCTTCTTTTGTGGTCCTTTCTGTTTGGGGGAAGAGAATTATGTGGACATCCCCACAAGAAAACCCCCTAAGAGTAAGTCATTATGTGACTGTGCTTGTCCCCTACACCCTCTCGAAAAAAAGATTACCTACATCTAGTTAATTAGGGGACACTCTTTGTTCTTAAATAGGATAAAAAAGACATACAGCTCGATTATGAAGTTGTGACTCACTCCCAAATGATCGTTGGTCATGTGTGGAATATGATATTTTTTAAGACTTGACCCACATGAATTGAGTTAGATTGCTATACATAATATGAGAGTATGACCTCCTCCAGTAGATATATCATTCAGGAATGGACTAAATTGCACGTCGATCTGACAAGTGACCAAAGTGATAGTCAGAGTACAAGAGATGGACGAGTTGCAACTCATTGACTGACTTTGGGGACGTTGAAGAGGTGAGAATGGATGGAATCACATGTTGAATAATGGGAGTACCACTAAGCAATATACACAGACACATACAAGAAGCCGGTTCTATACACTTGAAGAAGGAGGAGGTTTGCGATACCTTAAATCCTATATCGGATGAATAAATACTAGGAAGCAATTAAATGTAAAACTCATCTCCAAATGGTCGTTATTAGAATATGATTCGAGGACTCCTTTTCAGGGATTTGCCACTTAGAACTGGGCAAATCTTGTATCAAAGCAACGTGGGAAATAGATGCCACACAGAATGAAGTACCGTGCTTTGAGAGCCACCTTGTGAATCCGTTTATAGCAAAGTTACGCCCGTCTTTTTAAGGTAAGTTGATTTTTCTACTCATTTTCATCCAAAAGTAAAAGGTATCATCGGAAAGAGATCTTTTATTTAGACATAAGTCCAGTTGATCAAGTGAATCGATTGATAGTGTGGATCCCACAAAATCAATTGTGGCGATTCATTTAATCCATAGGACCGGGTCTAGACACCGTTATTGAAGCAATAACCTTGGTCACAAGGAGCATGGATTAGAAGAATTTCTTCCTCGGATTCTAGTTCGCCGGAGCAGGTGGATTGCAACCCCGTTCATTTCCATGAAATCCCGCGTAAGATCTCATATGAAGATTGGCTTAGTGGACAAGTGCATCCCATGGGACAGAACCTGGGCGCCCATCTTAATGTCGGCGGCCAGTGACCACGCTCCATCTTTGACGGCTTACGTCAACGTGCATAACCAACACATGCCTGTCCTGTCAAGCTAAAAACGAAAGAGAAAAAAACCCTAAAGCATGTTAGCACCGATGCAATAACTCGATCTAATTTTATATTTGCTCGGTATACATCATCTCTCTCTCTCTCTCGATCGACTATTTTAATGTACTCACGGTTCATCGCATCGTTTTTATGAATCGGGGTACTGTATTTTTTGAGAGAGATTGCTTGAGAAAACGAATCCCTGCAAGCACACCCTCCCATGAATATAATAAGCATTGAAATCCCAAGAACAACTCCACCCTCACTGCACTGTCATTCACGAGAGAGGCGAGGCTGCAGAAAGACTCTACTAGACTAGAAGTGTGGGGAGTAGATTTTCCAGCCTCTGTTTTCGTTGCAGAGATCTTTTCGGGTTTATCAATACAAACAGTGCGAGCGAGAGAGAGAGAGAGACTGGAGAAAGAAATGGCCAAAAAATTGTTTATAATGGATTTGATTGTGCAGCCCCGGATGACTTTGTCTCTATATAATCCTCAGCTCGCTTCGTTCGATCCCATATGATGCCCTTTTGCTTCTCTCTCTCTCTCTCTCTCTCTCTCTCTCTCTCTCTCTCTAGAAATCGGATCCTGCACTTTTTGTCTGGATATTCGCATTGGCCCCAATAAAATACCAAAACAAAAAGAAGAGGAAGAAATAGATCTCTCCTTCCTTTCTTCTTCCCTCTTCTTCGTCTTCCTTATCTCTGTCTCTCTGGCTCGCTATGGGCACTGGTTGGAGGAGAGCATTCTGCACGACGATCCCTCGAGACCCGGAATCCAAGGCTCTCGAGAAGCAGCAACAGCGAAAGAGCAACCCCAGCCCCAGTCCCAGCCCTCGTAAATGCGCCACCGCCAAGCTGGCGTTCTTGTCCGGCGGAAGCAACCCCACCACGCCGCGAGTGCGGGCTCACCGCGAACCTCCGCCTCCGTCTTCAACCCCGAGCCTGCTTCGATGCCGAACAGCTCCAGTATCGGCTCCAGCCCCCGGCACGGCCAGTGTGAGCTTGAGCGAGACTCCAAGACTCGAGTGCAAGAGCTCCACTCCCAAGTCAACGAGGATGACGCCCAAGTCGTTGCCTAGCTCCAACTCTTCGTCTCCACGGTCTCCGCTCAAGTTGTCTTTCTTCAAGAACAGCTTCAAGTTCAGAGTAAGAACGTCTCTTGGACCGTGTAGAGAGAACATGTCGCTTCATTTTGTAAATCGTTTTCGTGAATTAATCGGTCTGCCGACGTCGTGCTTGTTGTGTTCCAGATCACGTGCGGGGTGTGCTTCGGCAGTGTCAAGACAGGCCGCGGCGCGGCTATTTACACAGCGGAGTGCGGCCACGCCTTCCACTTCGCCTGCATCGCCGCCCACGTCCGCAAGCACGGGGCCTTGGTCTGCCCCATCTGCAACGCCTCCTGGACCGACGTCCCCTTGCTCTCCATCCACAAGGACCTCCACCGCCAAGATTCTCAGCCACACTCAGACCCACCTCAGCCATCGCCACGGGCCGAATCAGTCAAGCTCGAAGACAAAAAGATGATCGAATCTTTTGCTTCACTCAGAGCAGCGAGACCTACCACGCCGAAATTAACAGAACCCGTTTCGCCTAAGTTGGCCTACTCGAGATGCTACGACGACGACGAGTCCGTGCTGTCCCCCAACCCCGGGGCGAGATTCGTTCCGATCGACAAGCGAGAAGAAGAAGAACGAGAAGAGCAAGAGGAGGAGGTTGAAGAGTTTCAGGGGTTCTTCGTCAACCCGACTCCGTCGTGCTCCGACGTTTCGCAAATGACGAATTGCAAAGACTCGACCCCCGTCGACGTGAAGATCTTGCCCCAGTCCGCCGTCGTCTCCGTGTCCAAGAGCTGCGCCACCTACGTCGTCGCCCTGCGGGTCAAGGCGCCGCCCCCCGCGGCCGCCACGCGGAGCGGCCTCGACCCAGCGCGCCGCGCCCCGATTGACCTGGTCGCGGTGCTCGACACCAGCGGCAGCATGACCGGCGCCAAGCTGCAGATGCTGAAGCGCGCCATGCGCCTGGTCGTCGGCTCGCTCAGCTCGGCCGACCGGCTGTCCGTGGTAGCCTTCGCGGCGGCTCCTCGGCGGCTGCTGCCTCTGAGGAGGATGACGGCTCAGGGCCAGCGTGCGGCTCGGCGCGTCATCGACCGTCTCACTTGCGGCCAGGGGAAGAGCGTGGGGGACGCCTTGAGGAAGGCCGCAAAGGTGCTCGAGGACCGGCGAGAGAGAAACCCCGTAGCTAGCATCATCTTGTTATCCGACGGTCAGGACGAAACGGTCCCTTACGGCGGCGAGAATCCAAGGCAGGCGCCGAGCCACGTGCCCTCGACGCGCTTCGCCCACGTCGAGATACCGGTCCACGCCTCCGGGTTCAGCAAGAGCGGCGGCGGCAGCGGCGGCTTCGGCCGCGAGCCGTCGGAGGACGCCTTCGCGAAGTGCATCGGCGGCCTGCTGAGCGTGGTGGTGCAGGATCTGACACTCAAGCTCGGGTTCGCGTCCGGATCCGACGCGGCGGAGGTGGCGGCCGTCTATTCGTGCAGCAGCGGACGGCCCGCCTTGCTCGGCTCGGGGGGGTCGGTCAGGCTCGGCGACCTGTACGCCGAGGAGGAGAGGGAGCTGCTGGTGGAGCTGCGGGTGCCCACTTCGACCGTCGGGTCCCACCACGTCATGACCGTGCGGTGCGGCTACAGGGACCCGGCGACGCACGAGGCCGTGAAAGGGTCGGATTGGGCGCTCGCGGTCCCGAGGCTCCACGCCGTCAGGTCGTCGGACCCGAAGGCGGAGCAGCTCAGGAGCCTCTTCGTGACGACGAGAGCCGTCGCGGAGTCGAGGAGATTGACGGACTACGGCGACCACACGAGCGCTTACCACATGCTGGTGTCGGCTCGGGCTTGGCTGATGCAGTCGGGCTCGGAGCCGGCTCGGGAGTACGTGAGGGATCTGGAGGCCGAGCTGGCGGAGCTGTACTGGAGCAGACAGCAAGCCCTGGAGGTGCAGCAGATGATCCAACGGCGGAGAGGGAGCGAGAGGGAGGAGGTGACGACGACGGCGGCGGGGATGGCCGGTGGGAATGGGGAGCCGCTCACGCCGTCGTCGGCTTGGAGAGCTGCTGAGAAGTCGGCCGGCGCGGCGATTGGGAAGAAGTCGATGGGTCGAGTCAGAGACTTGCATGGCTTTGAAAATGCCAGATTCTGATTTTTACTCGATGGTCAAGTACATTTTGGAAGAGATAAATTAGTTAAGACGCCACAAATACGAAAAGTCTTTAGCTACATTCGAACCATATGGGCTCGATGATACATGTGATTCGTTGGATCATGCAGATCCCACGTGAAATCGACCGACCGATGTTGTGCACCGGGCTAAAAACCAAAACGGGCGCATGCAAGAACTTTTTGAAAATTGGGGGGTGTTAATTAGTAGTTAAACATGTCTTGTGGTTGTGGGATGGCTGGGTTAAGACATCAGCAATTTGTTGCTCGTTAGGAAGAGAGGTTTGACTTTGAGGCTAATGGCCTGTTTAGTAATGTTACTAATTATCTGTTTTTCTGTTCTTTTGTTCCCCGGAACAGAAAAAAACAAAAATTCGTTTCACGTCAGTTAGTTTTTTTGTTTCCAGGAACAAAAAAATGGTTTGGGAATAGATTTGGAATAGAAATAAGAAAAAAAAATTACTTTTCTGTTTTTGGAATAAAAAAAGAAACAATAAAGAAACAAGATCAGCTCTTCCTCTTTTACAAAATATTCTTATACTAAACCCTAAACCTTAACCCTCAAACCCTAAACCCAAAAATCCTAAACCTTAGCCCTAAACCTCTAAATCTTAAACCTCAATATCCAAACTCTAAAACCCATAACACTAAAATGAAAAACCCGTAACCCTAAACTCTAAAACCCCAAACCCCAAATCCCTAAATCTCTAAACCCAAACCCTAAACCTTCTAAACCCCAAAAACCCAAATTCTAAAATCCCAAACTCAAAACCCAAAACACTAAATCCAAAACCCTAAAACCTAAACCCTAACATCGTAATTCCAAACCCTAAATCCTAAAATGTTAAACCCCAAAACGCAAATTCCTAAAATCATAAACCCCAAACCCTAAACACTATACCCTCAATCCCAAACCCTAAAACCCGAATCCCTAAAACCATAAGCCCCAAACCCTAAACCCAAATCTCAAATGCTAAGCCTAAAATCCCAAACCCGAAACTTTAAAATCCGAACCCCAAACCCTAAACCATAAAATCGAAAATCTAAAACCCAAAACCCAAAATCTGAAAACTGAAATTTTAAAACCTTAACCTCAAACCCCAAATCCTAAAATCCTACACCCTAAACTGCAATTTCCTTGACGACCACTCGATATTTGATTTATCTATAAAGAGTAATTTTATTTATGATTGTATTAATGTCATTCAATTCTATATCATAAAATATTATTATTCTATTTCTAGTCCAATTTTATCCAAACATGAATTTTTAAGTCCCCTAAATTGTAATTTCCTCGACCACCACCCGATATTTGCTTTGTCTATAAAGAGTAATTTTCTTTATGATTGTATTAAGGTCATCCAATTTTATATCATAATGTATTCTTATTCTATTTCTAGTCCAATTTTATCTAAACATGAATTGTTAAGTCTCTACCGATAATTTTATAATTAAATGAAAAAATTGGGAGTAGAAATTTTTAGTGTCCTACCAAACGTATTTTTGTTCTTTTTAAACTTCGAAAATAAAAATTTTGTATATTTACTAAACGCGTTTTTTTGTTCGGAAACCCGTTTAGAGAATAGAAATAGAAAAAACTATTTCTAAACAGAAATTATTTCTATTCGATAAAAAAAAATATAAATTATTTTTAAGAATAGAAACGTTACTAAACAGATCCTAAGGTTCTTTTTTTGAATTTTGTAAATTAAAGGATGAAGTGTAAATGAATGGTTAAGTTTTTTTTCTATTTTTTTTTTTTGGCGAAGGAAGATCTTATTTGGGTTCCTCATCTTCCTCATTGCGCAATCATTACGTATAGTATAGGCTATTATCTTCTCTGACATATTTAGTATTATTATTAATTTGTGGGGTTTGGCTACGAATTCTCCTATGTATTCATTGCGTTATGATTGGTGTTATCTACCTTTTATGTGCATCCACCGCGTGCGTTGTGATTGGTCTATCACGGGTAAAGCTCAGGGTTTAGCCATTATAGGCTAAAAAGCCTGGCGCATCGTTTAGTTTATTACCAGAAGAAGATGCTTAGGCGATGCATCCCGAAAAGTATAATACCCTTACGCTGGGTGCGGCCGTTTGAATTTAAATTGGCATAAAATAGAATAAGGTGTAATTAGAAATTCTTCAAATATCCTTTCGATCGTAAAAAATCCCATCGCGGGTTTAATGTATTTCAAGATAAAATGTTTGAAAATCTCATTTGCTCAATGCAATCTCCTGCGATATCCAGATTTCATCGCATCGGCATCTCAAACCCGCTCTTCTCAACTCCGTTTGGTTCATCTTCTTCGTCCCCAATTTTCCAAATCCACCGTCATCACCACCTCCAGACCGTAGTCCTCAGCAAAGACAAGCCTCGAGTTGCCGAGGGCGTCACAGAGCGATCAAGGGAGGTAGCAACTGCGACAATATGGTAGAGATGCAGCAACGGCCGATATAAGGGAGGTGACAGGGTGGTGGACGCTACGCGCAAAGCTCAAGTGCCGCATGACGTCGAAGCCGACGATCTAGGGGTAGTGAGGGGCGGAGAGGAGGTGGACGGAGATCCACCAATGGACGACACTGGGCAGCGAGTAACAATATACCTTTGTTATGGACGATAATCTCAAAGGATTTGGCGCACTCATGAAAGGATTTGAGTTCTTCGATGGTGATGTCCATGTGACGTACAACTTTTACTTTTCTACCTCAATCGTCAGAACATGATCGGCTGGACGGCGATGACGATTGTACAGTGGTTGAAAGTGACGATGTTCGGCTGTTGTGGAGGTGGTCCCTGTGTGGTGGCCGACGAAGCCGAATGGGACACTCTATGTTGGAAGAAAATTGTTATGTTATTTTTAAAAAAAAATTATTCAATCCGGGTTTATCCACCCCTAACCCTGATTTCTTATCTGACATTTTATCTAGATTTATCCCAGTTTATCCGGCCTAAAGGACGTCGCCAAACACCGAATAATATATTATGTTGTCATATCCAGATTCAAATATGGACTATCAAATTAACTTTGTCTCCGATCCTTACTCTGTCAGTATCTGGCAAAAGATTCGTGTCTTTGTGCGTTTGGTTGGGTTTTTGTCTTCTCCACGCGAAGGTTCACCTCACCGTTCGGTCTTCCGGGCAAGAGATTTTGAGTTGCACTGGCGGTCCAATATTCAATCTGTCTACATCGAGCTTACCGGGGGATGATAAGAGGAGAAGATGACTGCCGATCTACAACACATCAATCTTTGAAAAAAATCGAATGATTAATTACAACGGTAGCAGTATAACATACAAACCGGCTCCGCGGATAATAACTTGATATACATACCAAGCTCGCGCCAAAAATCCCTCACTTGTATCCTACAAAGCCGAATGAACATACAGAGCAGTAAGAGCAACCCATATAGACGAGGGTCGATCAGGAGGGTCATCTGCCATTTGACCCCCTCAGAATTCTGCAATCCTCATCTACCTTTGAAGTGAAGAGTGAAAACTTTGACAAGGTGAGGAACACGTAATCCTCTTATTCTGATTTCTGAGGCAGTAAGAGGGAAGTTATGTGAGAAGAATTCAGTACTGGAGCTCATTTCTGGATTTGTTCGACTTTCGCTCTGATCTTCTGTTCCAAAAGAGAGATCTCTGTCTCGAGGCTGAACATTCTGTTAAGCGCGTGCATGTTCTCGAGGGTCTCGTTCAGAGTACGCCCATCGGTACCGTCACATCTCAAATGTTGCATTGGTCCATGGAGCAGCTTGTTGACTATTCCTCGGCTGAGATCATCCACCGCTCGCCTAGTTTTCTTCGGTATGTCATCGCCCATCTTTGACAGGCACTTCTCTAGCTCCACGACTCTGATTCTTTCTGCATAAGCCCTCAGCTTCTTGATGGTAGGAACAGTTTCTAATGAATCCCGCCAAGCTTCGAATTGTTTAGACTCCTCGCCGATTATTGCCTGAGCTTCCATGGCTTTCCGGAGGCGATCCTCCTTGTTGGCTGCCACAACCTCCTTAAGGTCATCGACGTTGTACACTCGTGCAGTGCTGACATCAGCTACGCACGAACCCACATTCCTAGGAACAGATATATCAACAAAGAGTCTCAGACCCCCAACTTCCGAACTCACAGGAGGAAGAGTCTCAACATGCCCTTTCAAGAACAAAGGTGTCTCTGATGCTGTGCTCGTGAATATCACGTCAGCTTTGCCTGCGCAATTGATCATTTCTGTGAGGGGCTTGTAGATAATATCAACACCCTTCATCTCTTCGCGAATCGCAGCAACTTTCTCCTCACTTCTATTCACTACCACCATCTTTGTACACCCTTTTGCCACCAAGTGCTTGATCACGAGTTTTCCCATCTTGCCCGCTCCAATTACTACCATTCTGGCTGTACCATGGGAGGACTCCGGGATCTTCATCAAAGCCAGCTCCACGGCAGCAGAACTTACAGAAACAGCTCCAGAAGCAATGTTTGTCTCTGTTCTGACCCGCTTTCCCACAGTGATGGCGTGCTTGAAAAGCCCACTAATGTTTCTCCCAAATCCAACTACTCCTTGGCCAACTTTTACAACCTGTTTAACCTGTGCAAGAATTTGGCCCTCTCCCAGGACAAGAGAATCAAGACCTGCTGAGACTTCAAAAAGATGCTGTGTAGCATCCCCATTGTACAACAAAAACCGGTGTTGACAAAGCTCTGAAACAGGAATCCCGCTAGTCTGTCAAGAAGAAAAGTAGTGATAAGAACTTTGACTGCATTTTGTGTTAATTCTTTTCATAAGGTCGCACAAATTAGAAGAGCTAATCAACTAGACAACACTCATAACTGCAAAATATGAATTAACTAGGCAGCATGAACCTTGTAAAGAGATGACCCAGAAGCAAAATGCTGAGGACACAAATGATACAGGTTATCTTCCATATTTACCCAAAATGCTTCAGAAACCATTAGTTTATATTCTACAAACCTGTTTAATAAGTTTAAAGTGCTATGACCTGGAATAGGTCGGGTGCTTTCATTTCTGCAAGGAACAACAGCAGGATATAACAACTGCTAAAGGATTCTGGTCGCCAGAGAAGAACAGAAAGGAAGAATCCTTGACTAAAAAAAAATTCAAAAAGAAAGTCGAGTTTAATAAATTTAAAGGTCTATGACCTGGGATAACTCAGGTGCTTTTATTTCTGCAAGGAACTAACAGCAGGATATCATAATAAAAACTGCAAAAGAATAGAAAGGAAGAGTCCTGGACTAAAAAGAATTCAAAGGAAACTTGTGCTTTTCATTCCACAAAACTAGTGTTTTAGGGAAACTAATTGTTGCAAGAACCCAAGGATTATAGTCATGAAAAGGAAGAAAACTAATCACCTTAGACATCCATTCAGTCACTTCTTTAACCCCACGGTGCTGAGACAAAGCAACAACATATATCTCCATTCTGTTGCAGGTGCTAAGGACAGCTGCTTCTTCTATATGGTTCAAACTACATAGTTCTCCAATGGCTCGAGGCCATTCTGCCTCAGGAATGGCAAGTTTCTCGCGCATTTCCACAGGAGTTGTGTGCACGCTAAGCCCAATAACCACAATGCTGCTCCTTTCTTTTGTATACCCTGATCAAAACAATCGAGATAAATTTAGTGATGTCAACTTAGGAATCTAATGTTGCAATATTTACTTTCGCTTCTGTGTTTTCTATTTGAGTCGTTGCTTGAAAAGCTACACCATAAGCAGATTTCTGGTTAGTTAACCCTCATATCTAGAAGACCACACATAAAAACACTTCACCAATCACCAGACAGTGATTTGTGGTCATAAATATGGAAGGACTGAATTTATGTAACAGGAAGAGAAAGTAGGTAACCACATTTGCGGCCCACAAGTGAAAACAAGAAAGTCACTCTCCATGAACATGCAGGACTGCTTTAAGCTCAACATTTCTAAGAAGAGAGGTAAATAAGTAGTTCCACCTCAAAGGTGAAGAAAGGGATGCCATCACCATAGGAACAGAACAAAATCTGAACTGCTCAACCGCAGACTAGATTCTGAAGTTCAAATCGAATCATTATGGTCTTAACCCAATTTGGACATTGAACCATCTTCACTGTCGGCAAGCCTACACTACCACCTAATTCTAAACCTCTTGCTTGGTCTTGTCTGCATTTCTATCTAAAACCAGAAGTAGAAAATGGTCCAGACATAAACTCTCTCCCTTTCACTACTGAGGATTTACCTCTTTAAGCTTAAAGATAAGCTCCATAATTACAGAAAAGCTAACAACTTCACAAATTCTAGAGCATTATAAAATGGCGAAGATCAAACACCAGATACTAAAACCACCTAACCCCTCACTGCAACAATCCCAAAGATAAATGGAAAATGCCTCCAATAACGCATACTTTCATGAGATTGAACAACAAAACCAAATTACCATGTCCGAAACACACGCAAGAAATCCAAACTTCAAGCTCAAACCCAACAAAGAAGGGGACTCACTATCAGCAGCAGAGGTCTTGAGCTGCTCGAGAGCGGAGATATTGGAAGTATCAATCTTGGGCGATTCCGACACAACGCCCGACGCGGCGACTTCGCATCTCACCACCCGATTGAACCCAACCCCAACCCCAACGCTCCTCTGCGCGAGAGATCGCCTCCTGGGCAACCCAATTTGAGGCGACAAGAACAAGGAAGCCCTCGTCGCGGACGGCGACGGCGACCCATTACACAGGAGAAGCAGATTCTCCAGCTTCGCCCCGGTGAAGCCGCTCGAGACCGCCATTCTCGCCCCTCGACCCTCTTCGATTCACGGCGCGGAGGAACGGCAATGGAGGTCAATGGGGCGATCGGCGAAGAGAACCGTTCCTGGGTCCGTCGGGCCGGCGAGGTAGGAAGGGAAAGAACCCGAAAAGGAGGATCCTTTCCGGGTGGTGGTGGTGGTGGTGGTGGCTGGTTTTGGCCTTTTGGCTTTTGGCTTTTGGCTTGTGGTGGGAATGCGAAAGATGTCAAACGTGAGGTCCTTTTTGGGGGTCGCGGTTGTTGGTGGTGGTGCCGAGAGGCATGGACTCCCAAGGCCAACAGGGGGTTTGTGCGTATAATCGATTGTGGAGAGGAGAGGAGAGGAGAGGAGGTGACGATTTGGGAGGGGTGGAGGGAGATTTCTGCGCGTTGTGATTGGTGGGTCGAATGCACGTTTTATCCACACTCTCCTCCTCTCTGTCTCTCTCTATCTCTCTCAATGTCAGCCTCCTGTTTTGGTCTTTGGAAGGACCCACTTGAATACTTCCCCCTATCAACAGATTGAAATGATGATGCACATGATGCACAAATCTTACCATTGGGGCTCCCCTCCAGGTCGGGTTTTAGATTTCCTACCAAGATAAGGCACCGGGGGAGGTTCACATGTTAATCAATTGATTGGATCCATTTTCCTTTTTTTTTTTCTCATTTTTTTGGCGCATTGTTTGACGACGACGAGTCCCGAACTCGAAATTAGAGGTGACGGATTGAGTCGTCGTTCAGATTCGGATTGCTTTAAGGCTCGAGCAAGTTTTGGTTTGTCTTTCAAAACGAGAGTCGGTTTCGGATTCGGACCGATTCCATGACGCTTTATTTGCGAGTCTGCCTGGGTTACGAATAATTCGGATAGATTTTTCTTGTCCTACCTTTTTATAGCCGATGCTCACATAAACATCGAGAGAAATGAGTCGTTTTTTCGGTGTGATGATTCGAAACCCACTTACGAGGATGAGTAGACGATCGAGCTACTCTATGGTTTTAAGGCGTCCACACTGGCACGCCCTTTTTGCAGTTGTTAAGCCTTAATGCTAGGGAGCAATGATTCAAACCTTACAAGTAATTAATCTCCAAATGCTTTGTCGTGGTTTTGAAGGTACGAGAGTCAAAACAAAAGGCCAGAAGAAATGCCACAAAGCACTCTAGTGACCATGTCTACAGGCGCAAGCCGATAAAATGGCTGAGTATCTCGAAGTATATTTCCATGGTTTTCGTCCTTTGATGGAAGATACGCTTCCCCAAAAAGACAAAAAGATGGGGTCGAAAAGGACCGGCGACGCCGTCGTCGAGCACGACGGTCTACGTGTCGCACTATTGACGAGACGTTGAAACGCTTTCACTTTCCACAAGTCTCTGTAGGAGGCCGTGGTATACTGCTGTTCTCTCATTTCAGGATATTGGACGCAGTGAGCTCCAAAACCTTCAAGTTCCTGGGGTTCTCGCTAATGCATTAAAGGACTCATTAAGCACTAAGAGATGAAAGTTAGATGAACTGACTGAGCGATCATGATTCGGTATGTATGTACCATAGCATATTTGGCATTAACGTGCGAGGATACATGACATTTTTTGCCTTGGATGTCACGCTGTGTCGTATCGCCGTCTTCTAGTACTTAAAATCATATGATTTTATCTTACGGAGTTAATTTGATTTGCCAAACGATTTGTGCATGTGTTTTTGGAAGTGAAATAATCAGCAGTAGTAGTCCGTGGTGAGGCTGAAAGCTGTTTTTGGATGCAAGGCCTTCACAATCTCAAAGCCTCCAAGGTACGCCTTCCGTAGTTCCATGCTTGGACACATAGAGACAACTGTGACTTCTCAATCATATTGACGTGTTAATTCGCTCATCACCTGTAGTTTAGAAGTTTACATCCTATCGTAACTCAAATCCGACAATCTTGCCGTAGCATCGAAGAATCGCACTTTCCATTACAAAAGACGAGACCACTTGCCAAAACAACTTAAGAACGCACGCGGGGTGTATATAGCTTTCGATCTTCGCATTGTCAGTTTTATTAGAGATTTTAAAGCTAAGAGAAGCGCCATCAGCACCCTCCTCTTACTTGTGCAACACAATTCCTACCTGTGGCTTGCTAAAGATGTCTGCTCAATATAGTTTTTCTTAATTTATAGTACAAGATTTGGGTCCGGTTCGAGGCCACTGCACAAGTTGCAGACAACATCATCGTAATTCTTATCGATGTCTTGTTTCTTTTCCATATTAATTCTTAGAAAAAGTTTGATTCCAGTGCTGCAGGAGCTCTCTATCCGACAACATGTACTCTGCGTTTGGTATAACGATGCATCCAATGTACTTTTTTTCATGTCTTCAAAGTGAACTCTTAAGATCTCCTTTATGTGCACTCTATAGAATCGGATGATGTTGTCGCAACCCTAATATGATATCGGCATCCACGAAAAGCACGAAAAGGGTAGCCGACATGTCATCAGATGCTCCTAACGAATTAAGATATTATATATCCTTCAATTAGTTTAACTGCGGACGGACATGAACGCAGAATACTCTCGCGTCAAGGAACCAACGAGGCACTGATTCTTGAATGCTAAACACCCCCGCAGCTCGAGTCCAGTCAATCCGAACGGAGTACATATAATGACTTGCATGTTTGGATCTCACTTGTGGATCATGGCGATCCGAAGAGACATGATGAGTCTGATCCGTGTTGGATGAAATCGCAGGCCATGTGTCAGCATATGCCTGCAGATGATGCTTTAAGACTCGCAGATACCTTGAGCAAGATGACAACAATCGGAATATTCTGTCCACGCTCATTGACTCGCATGACTACTTTGCTGGTTTACAGAAATTTGTCCTCTACTCTAAAGCATCTACGGAGAAATTTATATCCTACCCTTAAGCATCCATATTAGTCAAATGAAAGCATCTATACAGAAATTTGTACTCTACCCTGTAGCATCTATATTAGTGAAATTAGTCATGCGAGTCAACGAGCGTGGAGATAATATTCCAAAAGATGTCATATTGCTATCTATGCATGGTTAAAATCGGTGTTGAGAGGATGTTTATTAATGTACTTGCACATAGCACTTGACTTTGCCATTTTGATGCCCCATGCCAAGTCGCATTGCACAACGATGTCTCATGGCCCATACGCGACCGATTAGCACTAGTTTAGTGACGTGTCATCCCCAAATGTCTATCACCTATTAAATTTAAACTTAAAAATGAATGGAAAAAGTTCTGCAAGTGTTTTCCCAGATGTATTCCATCAATAAAGCGGACAAAGATAAAGAAAAAATTTCTGTTTAGCAAAAATTGAAAATGAAATTATTTGTTTCCAAAATCCACTTTATTTGAAATTAAGAAGTTTTCTTTAAAAATCGACCAATCAGGTTCAAGTTTGAGAATCAATAAGTCATCTCGTCCGATGTATAAATAGGAAGCCTCTTTATTTATTTCGACACCCTTGACAAATTGAGACGCATTGAAAGTCAATCCATGACAAATGGAGACGCATTGAAAGTCAACAATGCGAAAGTGATTCAGGTCTAGTTTGTGATGAAGACCCGAAATTCGTGATGTTTGTAATTAAGCCATCAAGGCAATCAAATCGTCTTCGAGAGAAAGAAAGAATCGATAGTATACTCTATTTATTAAGATTAAATGTGACAGATTTCATGATGAAAATTCAGATTAGAAATTTTCCTTTGTGTACAAGCACATGAAAAGATATTTTTACATATATATGTCTGCGCAAAGCACATGGTAATTTTTTCTTTTTGCCACAACATCTATATAGAACAAACAAATTTTAATTTGTTGACTTGTCATTTACCAGCTTAGGTCTTACGATTCTAAATTTGATGAACATAGACAAAAATATCTTGAAATATATCTTTGAAATATACGTTAGGTTGGAAAAAAATCTTGATAGAAAATAATCGACTTGGTTTGAAAATTTTATCTCTTTTCATTTGAAGTGGAAAAAACCAAAACTCTTCAAGCGATCATGTGAGTGTCTCTTTATTAAAAAATCAATCAATTTATTGCAACCAGCAATTTGTGTGATTGAAAAATCCACAGTGACAATATTTTAATATAAACCATCTAAGGTGACCCGCCTGCAAGTTTAAGTTAGCAAAAATAATGCAAAACGTCGATGTTTCGGCCATAGATTTGCCCCAAATTAACGAATTTTAAATTAACGAATTGGGGCTAAATCCAAAATGTTTTTCAAACCGTAACCATCAATTTAGCAATTTGGACAAAATTAAAGGTCGTTTTGAGTGTTTTAAACGGCTCTAGTCAATCTTCTTCACCATGCCTACTCTCGAAAGCTGTTGAGGCAGAGATTTGGAAGCTGAAGAAAAGGTAATCTCTTGGTTCCTCCCACTGAGGCAAAGCCCACTTAAGTGAGCCCTGAATAGAAAGTTGTGGGTAAGCAGGCTACAGCAGCTTTAGATGAGCTTACGGGGGTGTTTGGTTCACTTTGGAAGGGCTTTGAACCTCGAAAGCTCCTTCCCAAAATACTTGGTGTTTGATTCAGCTTTCATGCTAGCATTTGGAATGCTACTGTTCATGTCTCTTTTTTTTTTTTGGTTTGAAGTGTTCATCTTCTTCACCAGCATGGCGAGGGCGGCCGGCGAGGGTGGCCGGCGGGAGAAGGGCCGGCGAGGTCGCCGGGATCGGCGACCGCCCAGCGACGCTCGTCGCCGGGTCGCTCGACCTAGGCGCCGTCGCCGCCTGGGTCGCGCGACTCGTGCGACGACGGCTGGGTCAAGCCAACCCAGGCGACTATCGCCGGGTCACGCGACCCCGCCGAGGGTCGCCGCACGGTCACGCGACCCCGCCGAGGGTCGCCTAGCCTCGGCAACCGCCGGTGGCGCAGATCTGGGCTCGCTGGGGTCGCCCGACCTCGGCGACGGCCACGGCGCCAGATCTATCTCACGGCGGCCGGCTCCGCGATGGGTAGGTTAGTTTTTTTAATAAATAAGATAATTCTCAAAGTCCATTTGCAAAAAAATTCACCAAACACTATATTTTGGCTAAAGTAACTTTACAAAATATTTTTACCAAACACCATTTGCATTTCCCCAATAGGCTTTCACCCAAAGGTATTTGCATTCCCCAAGAAGATTTTCAAAATTGAACCAAAATAGCCCTATGTCGAATTATAGCAGATGAACTGCTTTTCAAACGGGGTTCAATCGGGTGGTTAGGGAGGTACCTCCACAGAGATTATTTACAAACTCATGCTGCCTATTTCACGTTTGTTGTCCGTGACTATCTTGACTTGAGGAAGTTGGCATACCTACAAACATGTTCATGTCGCTTCTTGATTGAGCGTTATATTACAACAAAGTTTTGAATTCACTCCCTGCAAGATCTAGGATGCCTGTTTTACACCCAGGAGAGGAAGAGGGGAACTCTATGGATGCCTCAATTAAAGCGACTGGCTACTTGACCTTGAGGTCATCAGCAGAAAAGATCTCTATCCCAGCTGGTTTCAGTTTCACGTACCAAAGAGACCAAAAAGGGTCCAAACTGGCAGCATCTTCTTGGAGCAGTAGTATAGTTGTAACATGATCAGATCATGATATCTGCCGGTCGACAGTAAACACTTTAAATGATAAATAGAGCAAGCTCTTATCATAAGACTTATCTCTTTCTCAAGACGAAGAAAGCATGCTCTTGATCAGCAAATGGGAAAACAGACCGAAGGGGGGACGTGAACAAACAGAGAAGGGCAAATTTTTTCGGCCTTGGCTGCTTTACTTTTGAATTGGCTTCTGTCCAGGTGAAAACGAGAAACAAAAGTTGATCATTTCAAGCCTCCTAGGAAGAACAAGGTCATTCAGTGGATAAGTGCAGATCACACACTTCCCTCTAATCAAGATGGTCCTAGGTCGAGATCAGTCATATTTTCCCCGATTAAACTCAAAATACAGATGACAGCAAAGGCCCATGTCCATCACTATCGCAATATACTTCAACAATTCGCTGGTGATGAGATATGGAGGATAAAATTCTTCATTTATGTACAGTGACCGATTAGCTAGGCAGCTCATATCCTTGTGTCACTCAAACCACATTGAAACATGTAATGAGAAGAGAAAGGTCCAATTCTCATGGCTTACACTACACTTCATATAAGGGGATACCATCAGCAATAATTGAATTGTCACCAAAAAGAAACAACTACTCTCAAGGATATATAAGGAACTTGATATCACTAAAGACAGAAGCTAATCACAAGTATTTTGCCTGAACAAACAATGTCAGCAGTCACCCATGGCTTTATGTAATCCAGATCGATGAGTAAGTAAACAGTTACTTATTTTATTTGAGCAAGACTAGTCACTGATCCAGGTATGCTTTTACAGTCTCAAAAGTTCAAACTAAATTACGATTCAGTGGATGATGGGGCGTCATCCTTGTGCTTAATCATACCAGAATCCACAAGTATAGGAACCTCAGCTGCAAGCCACGGAGCTAGTCCCAAACAAAGTGCATGTGCTATACCGAAACGGGGGCTGCCAAAATTTGAGACAACAAAGTTCAGACTCCTGAGCCACAATTTTAGTAAAACTTGGGGAGGTAGAGAGCAAATTGATTCCACAAAAATAGTACCAAGACATTTGCGCACGCAAGATATGCAAAAGATACAGAAAAAGTGAATCGTCTCTATTTCAAAACATCATTATCTTCACCAAATGAAGAACCAGCACAAATATGAAACAACTACTTCTGTTGTTCACATCAAACAACTCATGGAATTAAACAAATCAAGAACCATTTTTGAACAGCCCCTTCTTCCCAACCAAGCATTCATGAGAAGTACAAGCGCCGGCATGAATGCTCACACATTGTCGATTAACAACCCAAGAAATCTGCCTCTTACCCTACAATTTGAATCTGTTATTGATTTTCTTCCCCTTATCAGAGTCAAAGCACCTCCAAGTCATTGCGTGATCTAATACACGATTCTGTTCTTCTCCGTTAAATAGAAATCAAAGTGACACAGCCATGATTCAACTAAACCAAGAAGCCAAAAATTTCGAACCCCTTAACTAAGGATTTATGGTCCCTAAGCTTCAAAGAAACCAAATTAAGAAAACTCATATGAGATTGGCTTTTCTGGTGCATCCCTCAACCAACCGAACACATCATATAAACATAAAGTACAGAACAATATTGAGTACAAACTCAGCTCCATCAACATCCCAAGCACACAAAACCACAGATATCACTGACAAGCACCACAGAGGCACAAGATAAAGATATTACCAGTTCTTGGCCCAGAGCGGCTTGAAATGCACCGTCAAGCATATCTTCCCTCCTCTATACATCTATCCCATCACAAACACAAACACCCATCAGTAAAATAAATAAATAAAAATCGAAATTGGACAACGCTAAACAGCAAAAGGCAAAACTGCGAGGAAAAAAAATTGAAAATTGGCAAAGAAAACGAACAAGAAAAGGAAGGAAGATAACCTTCTGGGTCTTGCCGTCGAGCTGGGGCAGCTCGATCTCCGGGGCGGTGGCGGGGTAGGTGACGGGGATGTCGAATTGGAGGTCGAACTCGTACTTGAGGAGGTTGTGGACGTACCAGCACTTGCCGGCCCAGCGGGTGCCCTCCGGGTTGGCGGCGGAGATGCGGAACCAGTCGTTGTCGTTGGACTTGTTCATCTGGGTGTAGGCGATCAGGGACTTGTACTCCTCCTTCAGCCGCTGCGTCCACGCGCCGCCGTCCCTCGGCCCCGCCTTCGTCGCCAGGAGCGGGATCTGGGTCAGCGTCGACTTCGTGCTCGGGTCCCAACCCTCCATGCTCGCCGGCCGGACGGTTTCCCGATCTGCCGGAGCCTGACTCCTCTCTCTCTCTCTCTCTCTCTCTCTCTCTCTCTCTCGGTCGGCGACGAAAAGTTGGATTCTTTACGAGGGTCCTTTTGTTACTTTTGGACAGGGCACGAGTATAATTCTGTAATCTGTTGTTAAATCGGACTTCTTTTCGTAACAGTTGCTTTTCAATGCAATTTAGTTTCTTTTTATTTAATGTGAAACATTTAAATCATTTCGAGGTATATGAATATTCCCATTGAGTTTCACGTAATTTTTTTCACAAATTCTTTTAAATTTATCATATTTTTATGGGATTTATGCACCTAAAAAGAACAAATCCAAACATGTGTCAATTCAATTTTAAACCTTTCAATTATACTAATTAAGTCATAAACATTTTAACGATTTGTCAATTTGGTCAATTTGGTCAATTTTTACCAAAAATCACTCATATGGATACCGGCCGTCCTACGTGACACGACCAACGCTGACACGAACAAATTTTATAATTTCTTAATATTTTTTTTGAATTTTATATTATTTTCTTATTCTTCTCTTTTCTTTCTTTGATTTTTTTTTACAACTATGAGCTGGCAAGGTCGTTGACCAACCATCGCCGGCCACAGGCGAGGGCCAGCACCCTAGCCAACCACGGGAGAGGGCCTCTATGCCAAGCGAGAGCCACGATACCCTTGCCGGCCAATGGGTGAGGGTCACAGCCCTCCCCTAGATTTGGGCTGGGGCTCAACGCCCTTGCCTATGGCCGACAAGGGCCAGAGGACCTCGCTTGTGATCAACGAGGGGCGAAGGCCCTTGCCCAGACCTTGCTTGTGGCCAGCCCACATTGGGAGAAAAAGGAAGAAAAAGATTAAAAAAAAAAATTTAAAAATTTGTCCACGTCAGGACCGGTCGTGCCATACAGGACAGATGACGTCTATATCAGCGATTTCCGACCAAAATTTGTTCAGATGAACTATATTGATAAATTGTCCAAAGGTTTACAATTCAATTGGCCTAATTGAAAAATTCATGACTGTTTTGGTTTTTCCTTAATAAGTCCATCTCCTCAAATTACATAAGCGTGGGCAAGATATGCGAAGTACGTACAAATGTCATACAAGAACTTGTCTCGATAGCATAGATGATCCATCTCTGTGAATTCATAGGCGAAGAAAACGCAAGGTTCACATATCAATTCGTTTGTCTACTGTATCCTCTTGCACATAAAATACCTCCGATGGTTCTCTCGATTGGCAATGTCACCCTCTTTTTCTGAAAACCTAAGCTCGAGAGACATAAATCAGTTGCTTGGGAACCGCTTCAAGCAAATTCGCATTCTTCAGTCAATGGTCAAAGGATTGTTGTTCTCTTTTGTACTCTCTCAACAAAATTGGAGACACGAAGTAGACCGAGCCACAGATGACTGGCAAGAAAATCCAGGACAGTTTGCTTTTTTGTGACGGTCCTAGTTGTTACAAGACCTGATCACAAACAAAATTGAATACACACAAGACCAACCCCGGTCATACCACAATCTTTCATTTCTAAGGGGCTGAGGAGTAAAGTAAGTCCAAATTTCACCTATCTTTATCCCTAAAGATCCAGCGCTACTTCTCTACATACATCTGTCAAATCCTGTGCTCCTGAAAAGAATATAATGTACCAAAGAATTCTAATTAGGAAAAAAAATAAAAATGAACACTTTCTTCTGTCTCTTCTTTCCCTGTTTACCATCTGATCCCGAGTTGTGACGGACTGTAAAAAAATGGGCAAACTGCGGTCGGGGATGCAAAGGTCACCAACACATGAGAGGCACTGCCGTGCAGAATCTGCTGAAATACGGGGAAAATTATTAATAACTGATGCAAACCATGCATCTTCCAGTGGATCCGGGCTGTAGAAAACTTTTCAGCATGGACTGATCTCAGGACGATTCCAAAGATGATGGACGCAGCACATAGTTCTGTGCACCTTGTCCTCAGGTTTGTTTGGTTTCAGAAAATGTTTCCAGTTTTCGTTTTCATTAGTTTTGTTTTAAGACAAAAGTAAAACAAAAACATGTCCAATTTTGAATTTTCTTGAATACGTTTGGTAAGTGATAATGAATCTTTTCAAGGAACAAAATTAGTAAAAAATTGCTCATATTGCATCGAAATTGTAAGAGAGACTTTTCTTTTGATTTTCTAGCCCTCCTGCTCGTTTAACAAATACAATGACAACACCAAAAAGTTCTTTTCAACTTAGAGCTTTAATTTTGAAAACAGTATCTCTCATTTTCATTTGAAAGCTGAACAAAACACTGCTAAACAAGCTCCTGGATAGTTCTCTTTTTTCTGCTGGAAATGATAAAAGAAAAGCTACAAAAAAAAAAATTTAACAAAGGAAGAACTAAAATTTCTTATAACCTTTGGTTGATGAAGTTTTCACGTGCAATTTTTTTCTGATGCACACCAAACGAAGTCCACTTTCAATTGAAAGAAGCACCCAAAGTAAGGGAAAAAAATTAAGAACACTATTGGATGGCAGCCAAATGACAGACCGTACCAGCATGCTTGAACTTCCATCACATAACCATTAGATCAGCCTCAAGGTTCTTGTCAAACAGCCACCCTTTTGGATAAATAAATTTACGAGCTTCCAAATGGAGATGCCAGTTTATTATTCTTGGGCAGCCAAAAGGAATACCTTCCATCTGACTTTCATCTTCTACAACTTGTTCTATAAATGTGGTCTCCTAAGAAAAGATGGATGAGGGGAACAGTAAGTGAAAAAACTATATTTTTTACAGGATACCTTCAAGGAATTTCCAGATATAGAATTTTGAAAAATTTTGAAGAGAGGAACACCAAGATATTACCTGAAAACCCTCCTTCACCGTGTCCAATTGCCGTATTGGATGCGGCGTCCGGCGCCTCCATCTCTTTGGATCCCACAAGATTGTACTGTTAATAGCAAATCCTGACATATCAACATGAAAACGTCGGAGTCTTTTACTTTTCTCGTTTGTGTGCCATCCAATCACTTGGCTTCCATTACAGACCGGACCTTCAAGAATAGCCTTGTTTTTGCTCTGTGCAAGCATGGCAATTGGCCAAGTGCCAAAATGCCTACATGACAAGCAGCTGAATGTCAGGATATGCCAAAAAGTTCCATGAAGAAAAGTTCAGCAATCTAACAAGCTTGAATACATAATAACTGCTACTTATGGCCCTGAACAAAATCCCAACTCCCACCCTAAGCTTCTTGCACCATTTGGCTATAGGGAACCAGAAGTCCACCAACAGTCAGCTGATATATGCATCGATCTCAACTTCTCAAGTCAGTAGCCCATGTACGCAATAGGAAAAACGAAAAGACATTAGCCCAACTTAGCACCTCTTAACTGCCTGCTTCAACTATTGGCTTTAGTGGAAGGAAACATGTGGAGATGTAACGATCACCCCTTGCATAGGAACCAAATTACGACATATTTGCGCTGATGATTTTGGTAATGACAGCTTCAACAATAATTTCAATAAAAGACACAGCAAAAGCCACTATACTATTACAAGTAAAAGATCCAGAACTAGAGGGAAAAGCCACAAGAAAGGACTAGAGTACCCCACAACGGCTCTAAGTTGTTCCCACAACGTGGGGAAACTCCAAGAACCTCTTGCCAAAAAGTTAAACTATCAGACTAATTGGGACCAACTTGTCGATCCATCCATTTATCATGAATTCCTTTCCAAATTATATGTACCTATCGACAAGGAAGAAGGAACAACTCGCTGGGATGCAAGCTGCTTACGCCATTCTGAACTGGAAGTATTAGTGGACTTGAAAGAGGAAAATGTGATTAAACGATCTCAGCTAGGAAACTTCAAAATAAATTTGAGCTTTTACAAGTTAACAAATCATTTTCTTGACAATTAAACAAGGGCAGAGAAAACCGTTTTGTCGCTAAGCTGATACAGACACAATAAATTAGTGACAACACTATAACAAAGTTATGCCAGTGGGAGTGTGAGAGAAGGATAAGGAGTGGTAAGAAATAATAGAGTGCCAACAATGAGTTGGTTGAGTGTCAGGTCTACAACCTTTACTGCGCCGCATCACAGAGTAAACAGTAATCAACCTCTTAAAATTTGTTGTGGGTCAATTTAGCAGGATAGTGTGTTTAGGCCGAAACACAGATCTTGCTTGTAGGATACTATCTCATAAATATGTACTCAATATATTAAACAAGTACCCAACATAGTAGAGTATAAAGACATTTCAAAAGTTATATCAAAATTTATGGAAACAGAGGTACCAAACAGATTATGGCAAACATGGTAATGCACTCCTCAAGCAAAATATTCCAAGTGCAATAAGCTTGCCTTTGACACAATCTAAATTAGCAATGAGTCAAGGGCAAGATTTTGCAATGCTCATTCCTACCAACCGCGAGAAATCAAGACAAAGGTTCATGAATTTTTAACATGTTCAGCACTGATTAACCTTTAGAGACTGAACAGCATAAATAAACAAACAGAGGCAGCTACTGCTAGCATCAGTTCCAGATAACATCAAATCACCTAAGTGACCTGTCAAAAAATATGTATGACATTGTAATCATAGTGATTAAACATAAAGCGGTTAATAGAAGTTTGAAAAGGTACCTAATATGTCGTAGACTGTGGAACAACTCCAGAGAATAGATATTATCATCATCAGCAAAGTAAACAATTCCATCAAGCTTATGGTGCTCAATATGTTCCAATGCCGTGTTTCTCTGATGCACACCCCTATCTTTAATATCCGTGGAATTCTTTGTACATACCAAATGCCGATACATAACTCCGCTTTTCCTCAATATATCTGCAGTCTCCGCGGAAACAACATTCGTCTCCACCACAATCCACAAAAGCGGAGGCGGCACAAGCCTCAGTACCTGGCCTAATCTATTCAAAAAGTAAGCTTGTGCTGCTCTAGAATAAGTAGGCGTAACCACAATCAACTGCTTCCTAGGCACCAAATCAGAACTTCCACCTGAATTTGCCCCGACTCCTGCTCCTACTTCAAGATTCAAACTTTTGTGCAGAAACTCGTCGCGCCTTACCGGACGATGGATGGCGTTCTCCAACCGAGAGTTGACGTTGACATTGACATTGGGTGGCTTGATATCCAAAGAGAAGTCGGGAGCCTGCAATTCGTTCACGTGCCCGAAAGGGGTCATGCCGAATAGAAACCCAAAGAGGAAAAACAACAAACACCTGTAGAGCGATCTCCTCCACGACCTCCTCGGCTGCTTCCCCAGCAAAACGAACGCCAAGAATCGACAAGCGCCAACCCCCGGCGAAGCCGAGGAGGGCTTGGCCGAGGCGGCGAAGGGTTTATGAGACGGGGCGGGAACCGCGACCTGGGTTTCGCCGTTCGGGTAATGGCGATCGTGATACGGCGGCGACAGGGTCCTCCTGATCGACGCCATACCGAACGGACACGAAGCGGGAGGCAAGAGGCAATCACGCCATCCAGACCAGCTTTATCAAGCTGCGGAGAGATCAATCAAGAAGGAGGCGCTGACAGGCGCGGAGGATTCGGGAACGGGTTGGGGAGAGCGACAGTGCGCAAGAATGGTGAACTGGGAGTTGGATAGATCACGCGAATCGAGTGAGGAAGTCGAGATTAGTTAAGAGATCAACCAATAAAGATTCGTTTTTTTTCGGTTGAGCTGAAAATTCGAGGATTACGTGAGAGATGTCGGAGCGGGCGCCGACGATGTGGGCACGGAGGGTGCGGCGAACCTGAACATGCGACCGACGAAGGGATCGGACAGCTTTCCTCGGAGAGATCGATGGATTTCCGGGCAAAATTTCAAGAACTCGGAGAGAGAGAGAGAGAAATTCTGTGTCGAGTTTTTCATTGTTCTGTTTTTATTGAAATGTATCACTATGATTGGGTGTAGGGGAGGAAAAGAGGGATTTTCTTGTTTTTTTCTATTTTTTGGAGGTATTGGGGAATTATTAACAAGATTCAACTAAGATACGGCGCATACGGAATAAAAAGGAAACAGCTATTGTGTTTTTCAGAAGGTTAGTTCTGCAAACAGTAAGTAAAATAGCTAATGAATATGCATTTACTAACAAAAATATACACGTGAAAAGGTAAGTAAAGTGTGGTCATACATTAATGTTTGGTTTTACATTAATGGGGCGTTTTATAGATGGGGAAAAAAATCAAGGTGATTAGTTGCCTAGATGAGTAATTTCAAGTCCCGAATTTGAAACAGATCCAGTAGATCCGAGTATCGAACCGGTTACACTCGGTTGGGCATGGAAGTAAATCAGCCGGTTCCGGGTGCGTTCCTAATTCTGCCCGGAATCGACATTATTTAGTGATATCATATCATACATATTATATTTTTCTTTACGTAGCTTATGCTAGATGATTTCTCGTTAGCCGAGTGGGAAATGCAGCCTGACCTGCGGTTCAGAGCATTAATCCGGAAATCGAACCAGCCTCGGCCCATTCCAATGTTTTAACCTAGAGAAACAGGAGCAAGAAGGAAAAAAAAGAAAAGAAGAAACAACTAAGATTAAGGCGAGTGAGGGCAACATGGGCATGATTAGGTTTAGGTAGGCGGAAACAAAACAAGAATTTCAACAGTCTAACGAGGAAGTCCTATTTTTCGACCAAAAAAAAGAAAAAAACGAGGAAGTCCTATTTTGTAGGGTGATGTTCGCTCTCGCCCATCGCATGGCCATCAAGGAAGCGGAAAGGAAAAGGACGTCATTCTTGTCTTTATCAGCGTACATTTCTCCTCGTATTGAGCTTCTTCTTCTTCTTTTTCTCAATTAAAATGACGTTTCCCGGGCGTCGGTTCCACAACTTAACAGAAAATCCAGTCATTATTTTTATATTTACAAAAAATCAGGATGGTGCAGCTCCATACTCAAATTCAGGCGACATTATTGCTTTTTCATAAATAAAAAAATCCCAAAAACTTATCTGGAGATTTCGGAGCTGCCCAACCAAGCTAAAGGTAATATTTGGTTGACGATGTTGAAGTGGTTTTCGTTTTCGACATTTATTAGGTAAAATGATCTGATACCATCCATGATGGCGTCCGACCCGTCATTATTGTCGCGCCTCATTTGAATTGTTGAGATCGTTTTCAGTCGGTTTATTTCCCTCCTTAACTCACTCATTAATTCCATACACGTCTAGTTTGACCTCTAGGACCGGCATCAATTCGGGCACTTACAGTTTTGGAAGTTGGTGGGTGGCAAAACCAAAAGACAGGTCGTCTCATCTAGGAGCTGCTTTTCTTCGTTAGTTTTCTGTCCTAGCTACTCCGAAGAAAATGCTACATACACGATGTTGATTGGTAACTTACATTTCAGCTTTGGCGCTTCGCCGATTGATAGAATTTGAGTATCAACAAATGTCGGTCTTAAGTTATTTGTTCGGCGATTGAATTTGTTTTAGTGTAAGAATGATGGAGATCAGAACATTTATTTTGTGAAAAAATGTGATATGATGGTTAGTTCACCAAACTTGGTGGGAAGAACCACCCTCTTGAATACTAAGGTAAGACAAATATGGCATGAACACTCTCGACAGTCGGGAGGTCACAGAGTTTTTGTGAAGCAAGAACATAGCCTCGGCTCGGCAAATTTCATTCCTACCTTCTTACAAAAAAGTAATATGCGTGTAATATATGTATCTCTTGACAGAAATCTAGCCATCTATCGTTGCGATGCTTTTCCAAGAACAGTTGAGCACCTTATGACCTCCAAGCTAAATTAGACATTCTATACTTGCTTGAGTTATAAAAGCAGAAGCGGGCAATGAGTAAACAATCTCGGCACATAATTTAGTTAATAAATATTTGAAGCACCCAAATTCAAAGATATGTACAGGCCTGGGTTCTCCGATATGGACGCATCCTTTTGATTCGAATAATTTCAGAGTCTCCTATGACATAAAACATGCAGCAATGCATCTTTGAACCCCGCGATACAAGATTTCCGGGGATTGGACATTTACACAGAAAAAAAATATGCCTCTCAGAAAGACCAATAATTTTATTCTCCTTTCACTTTCATGGACAGGGTTGATGCATGATTCGACCCGACAGCTAAAGAGCAAATCACCAGCAGCAGCACCCAAGATGTCTTGTCTATAGAGCACATACCTGGATGGACATCATTGCTCTCCAGCATTCATCCATCATATCTTGTGAACATCGCCACTTCCCTTCCAGTATATGTGTAGTGTAGAACAAAAATTTACTGTCCCCGTTGGCCAGTCTTGACTCAAAATCAAACAGCAACAACCCCAAAAATTGATTGAGAAAAAGTTTACGGAACTGCTCTAGGAAACCACCCAAATGCCTCTAATGGACACAATGAAAATGAGATAAGACATCCTGGAGAACTGCAACAGACAGAAGAACAACTTTCTGTGTAAAAGTTTGATAAAAGCCAATACATGCCAATTATAAAGTTAGTTAAACTCCAAAAAATCTAGATGACGCATGATATGTACTCCTCAAGGTTTAGACAGCAGAGCTTATGCACAAATGTGACATCCAAAAATGTCGAGCAAATTTGCACAAGCAGCATGAGATCCTCTTTTCCTTATCATAGTATTTAGTTACATCATCCATAGGCAACCAAATTATAGGAAGTGATTTGATCCAAATTCAAATCAATTTTCTAAAGTTCACAAGGACATTGTCCAGCAATGAATTGAAGAATCTACAAAAAACTTCAGAATTTACATAAAGATACTTGTTTAGCTATCAGGAACTGGAGACATAAATATCAAAGGATAAATTTTTTTCTTAGAGACGATACTTCATCAAGCAGATGGACGATCACATCCGTAATGCAAAAATGATTTTGCTTATTTTGCACGATTCGTCACACATGGAATGCTAATTTCTCAGAAATCATCCAGAGCAATGTTTTTAAATGTTTTCACAGTAATGATCCTATTATCCCATAATACTGGTTCTCAGTGAGACAAGTCTTCTTCAAGCTACTAACCAGACACTATCAATGCCACACAATGGTAATACTAAAGAAAAGATAAGCGAGAAGAATGCGTAGAAAATGTTCTCCAATGTTCCCGATGACAAGCAAAAACCCACTGATTGTGCCCTCGAAGTGAATGACTTTGAAAAAATAAAAGCAACAAAAATTGAATATTTATCCATGCTGTCACGTTGATCACAATGAGATATTGCTGTGCAAAACAAGGATGTTCCTCAGTACCTCATATGACGGTCCTGGGTTTCTGAGGACTGGATCGAGGAATAGCTAAAATGGCTATAAGACCAGCAGTGAACGCTGATATTGCTGCCACCGCAAAAGCTGGTGAATTTCCACCACCAAATAATTGATCCCATGGTCCACTTCCCAGGGAGACCACCACCTGTTTCAGGGACCAAATATATCGCAGTTAGCTGATTAGTAAAATGCCTCTCTGTGGGAGTGAGATACAATAGAGACATGCATCGGGTTGCATATTGCTGGTGTAGGGCTGCCATTCCATTTTGGAAGGCGCTACACCCATCACACATTTTATAAATAATTGACTAGAATGCAGTCTCTCTCACCATTTAATTTTCTCAGTTTTCTCTTCTTATTATGGATAGTTGTTAGATACATTCTCAGGAATTCATCCTCTCCTATTGGTTTATTGCCGCCATCTCTTCCATTAATGGACTGTCTATCCATGATTTCATCTTCCAAATCACAAGGAATGGCATATTTTTTGTTTAAGGATTTGAGTAAAAGCAAGGTAAAAGTCGAAGACTAGATTTTCATCGGTCTTATCTTATTGCTAAAATGAAATTGTTGATTTTAGGTGTTAGAAGTTAATCTGCCAGTGTTTCATCGAAATGCTTCATGGTTTTTACGAAGACAAACTCGGGTTCATCATTTCCTTTATGTTAATGTGTATCGCTTCAAAAAGGAAATTCTTTTCAATATATAGATGTGGTTTTTTTGACTTGTATGGAACTCGTGTCATGTAAATTAATTATTCAAAGAAGACCGACAAAAGGTACTTGGTATGAGCTTTATGGAGGAACTAGACTATCTTTCATTTACTCTTTTCCATTCTGATATTTTTCATCTTCTTTAATTCTTAAAAAAGGTTCACATATGAATGATCAATGTCTTTACACATCCTAAAAGAAATTTTAAGGATGTAAATAACAAAGAAGTAAAAGAATAGACGAAGCAAAGGTTATAATTGAGCAATTAGTGGCTATAATTTCCATTTTTACAAAAAAAAATTGATGCAGTGGTCCAAATTCAAAGACTAATCGATAACATAGACGGGGGCCACTACATGCCCATCTATGCTGTCCAACTATCATACATCGCTTATATGTTATAGGCCTTATGCACATGTTGTCTCCCTCCACCTAAGGCGTAAGCTTTTTATTGAACATTCTAACATGACATCAAAGTTAAGTTCCGACACAGTTTATTTTGGGTGTGAGGCTCCCCATTCATCAAATCTACATGTCATTCTCAGCCCTGTTTGCATGTGAGAGGGGATGTTAAAGTTTCCCACATCACTTGTTCAAGGGTTTATATACATTATCTCTTCTTCCTCCACTTAACAGTTTAAACTTTGGTTTGGATTTTCTAACATGTACAAAAATTGAAAAAAAAAAATTAAAGCAGCTACTACCTTTGCTAGGTTTAATGAATTAAGTTGGAAGCATTCTGATAATTAACATGCAAGGTACTGATGCTTTGGGATTTACATATTATTTTGCCTGGTTCAAGCTACAATTCTCTCTATAGAACTTTTCTAATCCATTGCAAGATAATATAGATTTTGTGATATGTGAAGAATTGTGACAATGACATTATCTTTCACTAAAAGGTTATTATTTACTTTGTTATCTTTACAGTCTCTTCAGATCGAATTGTCTTTAGGGGAGTTTAAATTGTACAGTAGCTTGTGACGATAGTCAATAGTTTATAAGAGTTGGCACCTCGTTGGTGCCTCTCTAAGAGACTTCAGTTTCATTAGTAAACAATTAAAATTTCCAAAGATTGGATTTGTGTACCAAACAACACAGCTAAATGTTAAAATTTCTTGGATACCGTCACTAGTAGAGTTGGTGGGATGGTATTATAATCTATTTATTACCTTTTTCGGTTTACCACAAGGACTTTTGTGGTGGTGCAACATGCGACTCAACCACAAAACTGTATTTTTACCCACTCTTGTACTTTAATGTTAAGATTAGATGGCTTTAAAGAGGAAAACAGGAGTGCCTTTTTCTAAGCAGCAATGTCCTACGTGATTCCATGACCTCTTCAAATCTGGCCATATTCTCAAACTTCTAGATTACATATTTCATTTTCCCACTACATTTACCCCTAAGTGCAACAACATTTATTAACTTTTTACCAGAGTTAGACAAAAGGGACAGCTCATGATATTTTCCATTCCGAGTTTTCTTGACTATAGGGACAGAGATATCTAGAAAGAAGAAGAGAGCACCAAGTCAACTAATAGCCAAAATTTCAATTTAACAAACTCTCTAGTTGACCAGTACACATATATATGCATCATTTTCTTCTTTCAGTATAATCATACTTTTATTTTATTCCTCTAGAGATCCTCACATCAACGTGCCCTGGTATAATGCCAATGGAGCCCCTACTAGTTTTCCCCCTATTATTTTTCACTACCTTTGAGCCTTCAAGTATCACATTGGACACACAAATTACTTTCCAGAACTTATTGATGTTCTACGCTAGAGTCAAAACTCTTTATCTCACACTGCAAGAGATAGGAGAACTTCGTCACAACTCCCTCAGGAAAATGATACAGCATGAAAGAAAGATCACTCCCACAGATCAGTTTACATCATCAGTGAAACTTTTAATGGTTGGCTCTAACTAATTTCCTGCATTAGACCAGCTAAGGCATATATCTCTTTCTCATCAAATAGGCCATCTCAATTCAGTTACATGCAAAGTAATATAAAGATCATCACTGGATCGGAATCTTATGATAAGAGAATATATAAACCAGCAATTAGAACTTTGTAGGATAAATTTCTTCAGTCAAACAGATACACTAGAAAGCGCTGATTACAGGAACGTAAAGACAACCAACTTCACAGGAAATATATGACTTCATCAACCACATGTCACTTCAATAAGGTTTCGCACTTACTTTCTTAACTTCATGAAGACAGGTAGCAGAAGACAATTGCAGCAGAAAATGCACTAATGAACACATTGTCTATTTTCAAGGAAAAAAGAAGAAAACGACCAATAGTCCTAATTATAGAATAGTAGGGCTAGAAGAGAATAATACCTGTGGGATCACGATTGCCAGGTTTAAAACGCCCATAGACAATCCTAAAAGAAATAATAAACCAAAGACCAATATAAGCAATTAGTTAAATCCGATATCATAAAATAGTTTGAAAATAGAGCACGAGATGCTGACCTTGCCCAAGTCCCAAAGACTCAATACGTGTTGAAATCAAGGCATATGGAACACTATAAGTTATCTGCAATAGGAAGTATCACATGAATCGCTTTCCCATAAAGCACGATAACCATCACAAAGTCAAGATACTATTACTCCCTAATTTCTTTCTACTTCACGAAACATATACTCCCTAGATTAAGTCCTACAGCAAAGTAAACAGCATAATCCAATCCAGAAAGCTTCCCTTGTTAGATTAGTAGAAATAGCTGCTATTAAGTTTGTCCCGATTAATGTGACGTTCGTAACTGAAAGTCGGGATGATTTCAAGTTCCAATAAGGAAAAACAGTTTTCTTTTCATAGGAGATAGCAACTTACAGCCAAAGGAACACCAAGTACTGCGAAAATCACTATCGCAGCAATTACAATGCCATCTGCAGGTGAAGTGCCGCCTGAGTCCATACTATTGACATATGTTACCACAAGCATGCCAAGAAAACAAAGAGCCATAAGAATGTCTGAAATCCCCCATACAAAACCTGCCCCAAATTTCCTGCAAAGCTTTTCCATGAGAACTGAAGTTATTCCCAGGACAACTGATTGCAACATGAGACCTAATGCACCCATCCTAACACCTTCGTTGTAGGTCCACCCTTCATTGGGTTTGCCGCCGTAAATTTCTCTTCCCATCCAATCAGTATCGAAGAGAAGAAAAGGAAACCATCCAATCCAAGTCAAAGCAGTAACAAGCAAGATTATCCATACAGACCCAGAAAAATATCGGAAAGTCCCAAATAGTTCCCACATGAAAGCTTCTTGAGTGTTGCTCGATTCAGGTCCATCAGCAGCTGATGAGGATCTGTCAGTCGAACCAAGAGGTAATTCCTGAGCAGCTGCGACACTTATACATGTAGTGATTGCAATAAATGCAATATCGATGAAGAATGCAGACTTAAGATTGGCGCAGTCAGCATTGCATGCAGAAGTCATAGTAAATGGAAAAATTTTATACCATCCACTATATGACCCTGCGGCAAAGCCAAGGACATTACCGACAGCCATAAACAGCGAGAAATATGCATTGGCTACTCGAGTCCTCCTATGGTCCTGCCCTGAGATAAAAAAAATATATGCTGAAATTAAATGTCAATAGTATGCTATTTCTTTTATAACAGCCTACTACTTTTTATACAGCAGAGCTTCCTAGAACCCCACGTATAGCAGACGGCAGAGAAAAGTACTTAGTGCTCTTTTGTCACCATGATTTTGCCCTAAAGAGAAACTAAGCCGCACTGTTTTCTTCAAAATAAGGAAACCCTTACTTTGCAGAGAAAAAGTATTATTTGGTCAGTTAAACAACAGACAATAGAATTATATTCCTCGAGTTCTCCAAATTTAAGCACGTGAACTATTTGCAAAGTTCTACGGTTCTTGTTTTGCTTTCACTAACAACTTAATTGAAGTCAGCACCTCATCATAATAGAAACTTAAGCAGTTATATAATGAGAACAGCATAAGACCCTTGTGCAGGAGGTGAAGATTATGCTTGAGCAAAGAAACAGACTCTAGGAATCACTAAATGAAATTAGAGAAGAAAGACAAGAACAGACAAAGAGCCACAGTTCGACTTGACCACCAAAACAATACATATGCACATATAACTAAGAGCAACCACCCCAATGCAGGATCAATGAGCATCGTAATTGCCTTTGATTCTTGAAATGGAGTATAGCTACTGGATTAGCGGGAGGGGATCTACGTGGGCTTGAATGAGTCTGTAGCCAGCTTTGCACTGCAGTAAATTCCCACCTCAAAATGAAGCCTACTCAACCTCCATGGCCACTTTCCCACACTTTCGAACAGAAAGAAGGGCCAAAATTTTAGAAAGGACAAGAAAAGGAGGAAGAAGAGATACATGGCTCCACATGAAAATCTTCTCTTATAAATATTTATTTGTCCCGCAATATCCACGTGATTTTGTTAAATGGGATCGCCATTAAAGTACAAACCTCGTTTGTCCTTTAAGAGGTCTGTAAGAGTTAAAGGATAAAGCGAATCTGCAGGTTCTATAGAAAGGTAATTTCTAGTTTCTAATGCTATTGCAGTCATTCACCTAATGATATACCCACCTTAGTTCAACCTGCTTAGTACATCTTGTCCCCGTTTCTCCTTACTATGATAAGAAAAAAGCCCAACATTTCCTGAATCTCAAAATCAACTAATTGGCATACAAACTTGATAATGATGTACAAGAATCGAAAGGCATAAAGCCAAGAAACCAAGAGCAATTGTTATCATGTCTTTCCCCTTCATAGGCAATAAAAATGTGCCGACGTGGAAACGCTCATAAACTTTTTAGAGAACATCACCTACAGGAAGATTTTTTAATCCTTATAAGCCAAAACCAATGCCCCTAACGACTTGAAAAACCAGAACCTCAGACAAGAATCGAAAAAGAAGATTGTCCTTCCAGACTGGATGAGAAAATTAGACCTTGTAATGTCCTCCATTTTATCTAACTTCCAAACCGCATGCTATTTAATACCTCCTTATCACAATCATCTGCTGGCTGACATCTCACCAGCAGCTTAAAATTATTCCCTGTGCAATTCACTCACAAACATGCCGATATACTTAAAAAGTCATCAAGAACAGAGACAAGAATGCATCATCTGAATGACACAATCCGGAAAGGACATATTTGGACTTCCATGAAAAATCCTTGTTCCCAGATCCCTGGCAATGAAGGGAGAACGCGAGAAGAAGGGAAAAAAAAAACTCGCTTGTCATTGTTCAGCATTCAAGCAGCTGATAAATTCCAAAAAAAAAAAAAATTCCTTCCCTTTTCATTTATAATGTAGTAAATTTCAGGAATAGCAGGCGATCCCTTCTAAATTAAATGATAAACATAAGTCACGGAAGGAAGAAATGTAAAACAGGAAACAATCGGGAGCGTTCAATCATCCACAACAAAACAACAAACTGTGCCGTGGACCTCTCCCAATTATGTTCACCAAAATCTGACGAGGTAAGAGCCAAATTAAGGATAAAATACTATACAACCCCATAATTGTCTCATTTCTTTTGTCCGGCCAAAAGATGCCAGGATGAAGTCAGAAACACGACTCGTGTACGACCAGCCACTCACCGTCCATTAGCCGGAACGGTGCTCGTCTAGGGTTCCGACGAAGCAAGGGAAAAGCGGAAGCTAAAAATCGTCAGAGAACTAAATTATCGAAACGAAGTGAGCTGAAATTACCAGTGAGGTCAGCGAGCAGAGCTCTACACGGACCCTGAGTCATGTTGTTTGCGACATCGAGGATCCAAAACCCGAAGACGAAGGCACCGACCGCCCCCGGCTTGGTGGCGCCCCCCCGGTCCCCGAGCCACCACCCGATGTCGGCGGAGTAGCCGATGATCAGCACGGCGACGGTGATCGACAGGGCCCCGGCGACGATGAACGGCCTCCGGCGGCCGAAGCGGCTGGTGCACCGGTCGCTCATGTGGCCCACCAGGGGCTGGACGAGGAGCCCGGACAGCGGCCCGCAGAGCCAGATGATGCTGGCCCAGGCGTGGGGGATCCCCAGCTCCTGCACGTACGGCGTCAGCAGCGACAGCTGCAGCGCCCACCCGAACTGGATCCCGCACGCCACCGACGCCACGCGGAGGAGCCGCCGGAGCGGGACCCGCGACTTCACCGGCGGCCTCGGCCTCGCCATCGCGGCGGCCGCGGCCTGCGGCGGCGCCCTGGGCCGGCCGCGGTGGCGCTCCGCCTCGGGGACCGCCATCGCTCGAGCTTCCCCGCCGTCTTCCTCTAGCGCTCAGCTCTCTAGCGCTCTAGCTCTCTAGCTCGCGCGCTCGCTCGGTCGGCGACGGTCGGGGGTGTTGCGTGGCGTTGCAGAGCAGAGAAATGCGGCCCCGTGTTTCCGTGAGATTTTAGACTTTAAGATTAGAAAGGGAGAGAGTTGTGTTTAGGACAAAGTGGTGGTTTTAGGAGTTCGACGAGGGTAAATAGTGGAATTCGATGATTTTGGATAGTTTATTTTAGGGGAAATGACATAGATAGTCCCTAAACTTTGACCTAATATGCATTTTGATCTCAGAACTTTTAATTTGTTCAATATAACCCCTGAACTTTAAGCTAATGTTCAATATGGTCCATGAACTTTTAATTTGTTCGATGTCATCCCTGAACTTTTGGTATATTGAACATTTTCACATAGTTCAGGGATTGAATTGAACATGTACCAAAAGTTCATGGATGACATCGAACAAATTAAAAGTTCAGGGACCATATTGAACATTAGCTTAAAGTTCAGGGACTAAATTGAATAAATTAAAAGTTCAGAGATCAAATTGCACATTGGACTAAAGTTCAGAGACTGTTTGTATCATTATTTCTTTTCTTAACTGCTCGGCGCGCGGGGGCGGGGGCCGAACTGCCGAGTTGAGGAGAGTTGACGGGGCGGGGGAACGATCTCTGGTTGCAAGTCATGCGGAAACGACGAGAATGCCCCTCCACCGGGGGGATGGGGGGATGCTAGCCTGCACTCGCCCCCGTGGATTCTCCCACGGACACCCTCGCGTTTATTGGGCCACGTGGCCATAAGAAACTTGGTGGCCTCAAATTAGATAGAGTGAGCACCGTTACGAGAAATACATCGTACTTGGTTTGAGGGGATTCGAAACTCTGGTTCATGAGAATTCGGGGAAGGAGGGTATTTTGGTACTTTCATCTGAGACTCTGTGCAGAGAGAGAGAGAGACAGAGAGAGAATTGGCTTGGGTAAGTTTCGGTACTCACGTTGGCCACGTGCCCCGATAGGAAAGGGAGTGTTCGTGGGAGAATGCACAGAGTGAGTGGGGCTAGCATTCCTCAAGCTAATGAACGCCAGAAAGCACTTTTATTATAAATTACTACTGACACGTTTAAAAATGCAGCAGCAGTGCATTGATATCGACTGCTTTAGCGACATCCTAGTGAGAAATCCAGCTAAATTTCGGAGACAACACGTCAAACAGAGCATCTCCCGAACCAATCATTTAAAAATAAATTCCTGGTCTCTTTTAATTCAATTTTCATGTAGATAAAAATCTGTTATTTTACGTTTAACGTTCGCCATAATGAAACTCGTGTTGCTTCGTCCATACTTATCTCTAATCCAAAAGTAAAAGTAAGATAAGATCGGAAGTTTACTGAATGATGTGGGGGTTGAAAATTTTTCTTTTCTGTTTTTCTGTGGTGATTGGAATGGAAACGTTGCTAATTGTCTCTTTTACCTCGGCAGGGATCCGAAAAGGGATATGGCAAAGATACTTGTTCGGGTGATAAAGATGAAGGACGTGTTTAAGGCGGGGACGAGAAAACATGGGTGGGCCGCGCGTGATGTGTGGACATGATGTTGGGAGGTCGGGAGGGCGGAATTTTGAGGATTTGCGTACAGGTGGGATGACCCGATGCAATGAGTGCACCATGTGGCACTTTTTTTCTTTTTTCTTTTTTTTTTGCTTTTTCGTTCTTTTGTTTTTATTTTTTTTCTTTTTAAGAAAACGTTGGACAGCGATGTGTGGTTGCCGATTTGATCCATTGCTGTTTCCCGTGGCATCAATGATTATTGATCCAAGTGGGTTGGGTTATGATAAATTACACGTTTTTCCCGTGGCTTCCGAACAACAGCGAATGCTCTGTCGTTTTACTTGGTTTCACTTTCGTCTGAGGCCCCTGCTTTTGGCTTTTTAACTGTTCAGTTCGCTCGTTTTGTTTTTGGGGATGTGAAACTTTTTATTTAAGGCTGGACCCACGGAATCATTAATTAACGAAGATATTAAAAGAAGTTAGCCAAGCTTGAGCGTACCTAATTTTGGATAGGGTCCCCGTCGAATTTGGCCATTCTCAATGGATAGTTTATTCAAAGTTTGGTAGGTCTTGTATCCAAAGTTGCCAAGTAAAATTAGGGTAGGCCTCGTATAAAAAAATTTACAAAGTATTAAAAATTTAGTATGATACATTGATGCGAGAGAGATAAAAGTGACTAGGATTAAGAGTCGATGGCTAGACTATCTTTTAATTATGACGTGTGACAATAGGAAGTCTAGTCTGCAAAATAATTTGAGAAGAACTCTATTTTGGAATAGGGGGAAAAATCTATCGGTAAAACCATATCATTTTTTCACAAAAAAAAAACCATATTATTTTTATCTTAATGTCATGCATTACCCTATTGATCATCCATTTAGATGTGTAACAAAAGGAATGTGCAAGTGAACTCTGCAGAATCGCCATGGCCGGGTAAGTTCCAGGGTGGACATTTCAGAAGTTGTAGGATAAATTTCAAGTTCCAAAATTTCGGAATCGATGAGTACATGGTAAGTTTCGGGGTTCGAGGTCGTATCCACCGTGCACCTTTTTCCCCTTGTACTCTATGTAACGTTTGCCGTGAAATATCTAAGTGAACATAAATGTACCAAACTATTTATTATTTTCTCTTTTGTTTACAAATGTTTTACGTTTGATCGCCTGAAATGATGAAAAAGGAATATTTACAGGATGCGTTTGTATTTTTCTCGACAAAAGCCGAGTTGAATGGGCTGTAGTCCAAGGTGCTCGATAACATACTGAATGAAACAAAAGCCTTAAATAACCAAGCCCAAAGCCGCCGCCACGGAGAAGAATTCAAGCCTGATACAAAAGACCCGGGCCGATGAAGGCAAGGATGGAAATAGCTCTAATCGAATCAATATGTTTACAAGAAATCCGTTTCTGACAAAAGACAGTTTAAGTTGAAAAATTCACGAAACGGCAAGCAACCGACTTATGTAATGGAAATCTAATATTCCAGTCTTCAACAAGTCAAAAATCACGAAAAAAGATATATTTTGTGGCAACAGGAATTCTTATAAATCACACCAGATAATTTCCGAAAGAGACAAATAATAATAACAATCCGACTCGTCATACATTGCCCCAAAACTCAAAAAATTACATTGTTCGAATCGAGTCAAGACAGAACCAATCACATTTTGAGAATTATCTTATAATGAATGTAAGAAATACAAATTTTTATAAAGTTATTTTTGGACCATAATTATTATTCATACCATCATGCATAGAGTGAATTTATATGAGCAAGAGATAAGTGCATTAGAAATTATAAAATTTATCACGAAAGTATAATTGAGCCATAAAAATTTTAAAAAGCGCGATCAAATCATAAATCTTATCACAAAAGTGTAATTAAGTTCTAAAATTTTCGAAAAGTGCAATTAATGAAATGACTTGATTTGGTCAATTTGATAAATTTAAGAACATGATTGCACTTTTTGATGGTTTTAGCACTCAATTTTCCTTTCATGATAATTTTTAGGACATAATTGTACTTTTTAAAAGTTTTAGGATTCAATTGTACTTTCGTAGCAAGTTTTCGGACATTAGTGCATTTTATCCCTGCAAATAATCAATACGTGGACAGGATATAATCACAACCGTTGATTTGTTTTTCTATTTGTCAGGATTCCCCAACTAATTGACCATGAAGGATGCCACTGGCAAGGGAGTCGGTCAACAAGACACGCACCAGACACACCCCGCCACGCCCCTCCAAATTTCGAAGCAGGCCATCGCCGCCGCCGTCATCCTCCCACCGCCCACATCCACGCCCCTCTGCAGCCTTCCCCGCTTTCTTAACGACGAAGGGAGCAAAGCAAAACCACACTCCTTCCTCATGAAAAAATCCAAACCACCACCACCACCATCACCACCGCCACCACCATGTTCGTACACCGATTTAACCTCTGCATCGCCCTGTCCCAAACGCCCTTTTCGGCCTTCGGTCACCCGCTGCACATGGAGGATTTCAAGGCCTTCTTGGAGGATTGGCTCGCGCGACAAGAGGCCTTCCTCGACCAGTTCCTCCTCCGCGCCTCCGAGCCGGAGGACCCGAGCTGCCTATACGGCGACGGTGGCGAAGCGGACAGAACCTTGATCGAGCAGGTCCTCGGCCACCACCAGCGGTTCTACGAGGAGAAGATGAAGCTGGCAAAGGAGGATGCGTTCCTCTTCTTCTCCGCCCCCTGGCTCACCTCCTTCGAGCGCACATTCCTCTGGATCAGCGACTTCAAGCCCACCCTCCTCTTCCGCTTCCTCGCTTCCTTGGTCGACGGTCTCATCGTCGCCCAGTCGAAGGGTATCGAGCGGATCGGGGCGGAGACGTGGCGGAGGGAGTGGGAGCTCACGGAGGCGATGGCCAAGGTCTAGGAGAGCGTGGCGGCGACGCCGCTACTCCGCCTGCTGATGGCGTCGGCCGGGCGGTCGGCGAGGAACGGGGAGGTCTGCGTGCTCGAGGCGGCCATGGCGGAGCTGAAGGAGTTGATGGTGGCAGTGCTGGAGGACACGAACGCGCTGCACGCTGTGACGACGAGGCAGGTGATGGAGGTGCTGAGCCCGGCCCAGACGGTGAAGTTGCTGGCCGCAGCGGCGCAGCTCCAGGCCCGGATAAGGAGGTGGGGGAAGGAGAGGGCGGCGGCGGCGGCGCTCCAGTGAGCGGAAGCCTGTCGCCGGTTTTACGTTTGAATTCCACCTCAATGTCAAAGGAGGAGTTTTCGTTTCTAGTTTTTACGTGTGTAGTGTCATCGTATAAAACAAAATGTGGTCCTTTTATAAGCCCTTGCGTTCGGTGAGTCAACGATTGAGCGCTTTGACTTTGCTGAAGCAGAGAGGCAGAGAGCAAGTTTCTTATTTCCATAAATGACCAAAAAAGAGAAAAAAAAAAAAAAGAAAACAGTTGTCACTGGCCAGGTATTTTCAAATATTTGAATTTTAATGAAAAACTAACTTTCTTGTGAGTGGAGGAGGCGTCGCAGAATTAATAAACGATTTATGCATCTTGAAAATGATGATTTATAATAATTTTATTACTGCTTAATTATGTTTTTAATTTGATTTTTCAGAAAAAAAATATTTACGAAACTCACATTTGCGATTCCATTTGATCTGAAACACCTGTTAAAGCCTTTCGCCGTTTTCAAACATGAATTGTCAAAATTTAAATCATATTTCCTTTTTTTCCAAATTTCAGGAGAAAATCCCAAGTAAAAGTGACTTGTCCCTAAACGGGCCCACAACTGTCCAAACTTTGGTCCGAAGTGACCCATTTCTAGTAGGCCCGAAAAGAGGGCCCATGTCTATTTGTCTAATTAGAGTGGGACGAAAAGATATTACACTACTCTACCGGCCCGGCCCACTAAAATCTAACAGAGAGAACAGCTTTTTGGGCCAATGATATCTACAAGCAGTTCGAAAATCCCATGTCAGCTCTATCCAACCTTTTAGGACAATGTTCTCTTCACCTCAACTATAATAAGCACTTAATTTTTTTTTTCAGCCTATACAAAATGAAATGCGAAAGTATAAATTACCAACCAGATATTACTCCACGAATTTGAAAATTGATTAGCTTCTATCCCAAAAAGCATAGAATTGCAAGATTCAAGATCTTTATGATAGCAAGACACTAGAAGACAGAACAAAAATAAGCTTAGACTCCATGGTTTTACGTACAAAATGTGTATACTATAATGAAAATCTAAACTAGTCATATAATTAATTGAGTTATCAAACAAACCATAAGAAGTTATCTCCTCTCATTGGGAGTTTCCTCCCTTCTTTGTGAGAGCTTTTCCCCTATCTTTATGGTGATAGTTTTCCCAAAACCTTACCTAACTTTAAACCCAAATCTCCCAAATCCCCATCTCAATGCTCCATCGAAATCCTAAATCCCCATTTCATTATTTTATTCCCAATCATCCATAACTTTAAATCCAATCCCAGTTCCTCCATATTATTTATCTTCTCCGTACCCTAATTCCTCTTGCCTACACCCTCCCCTTTCTGCAGCAACTCAGTCCCCAATCCCAACAGTTACACATTCTTCCTTAACTTCTAACTCCCCTTGTACACTACCTCCTAGCGTCTCCTGCTCTTGAGCAACCTTTAATCCTAGCCAGCGTTATGGAGTTTCTCATTGGCTCTCTCGAAAGATGGTATGGGGACTATTTCCAAGCCTATTTTATGTTCAAGAGGTCGGCCGAAGTGGTATAATAGCTAGTTATCTGCTCTTGCTTCACCCTGTGACGTAAACACATCTATAGAACGTGAGATCGAAAACAAACTTCGTTAACTGCGTTGTACAATAGTTTGGGCAATTTATGGTCATGTGACAATTTGGTGGAGGAGAAAAGAGATATCTCCATTGAAAAATAGAGCTGAAGAGGGTTGTGAATCAAGACATCACCTGAATCACTTTCCAGTCATATTGGACACCCTAGAAACCTAGCAAATTGACACCCCCATCCAGATGAAGAAGACGGGAAATTTTAGGCTTTGGTGGCTAGCCCTATAAGCCACCAGGTAATATTTAAGGATTTTGAACTGAAATTGCTAGGGGCTAGGCACCCCCTTTACATTCTAGGCACTTAGAGCTTTAGTGGCTCTTGAACGACCCAATTTGATTTTCTTGATGGAAACAAAAAAAAAAAAGGGAAACGGTGATGGATTGTGTTAGACGGTGTATTAATTTTCTAATTCATTGTTAGTGTATCCGAAGGGTATAGGAGGGGGTTTAGCATTTATGTGAACCGAGGAGTTGTATGTTGAAGTGACCTCAAACTCTAATGAATATTAAAATATTAAAATATTATTAAAAGTTATCCGCGTCAGTGCCGACAATAGGCCGCCGGCCGGCCAGCGTCCACGTCAGCAAAATCCGGCCAAAATTAGCCGAAAGGACTGAATTGGCGCAAAGACAAAGGTTTACGACTCAATTGTCATCAATGCAAAAGATTTACGACTTTTTTGACACTTTTTCCGTGAAGGAGCCTAATGTGTACTAATCATGTATTAAAGCAAATTAGGTGTTGCAAGTAATTCCTTGTTTTTCTGAATATTGTCATGTTGGTGTAAAATTATATGAAATTATGGAATTAAACTAAAGTATTAGCATGTACCTCTTTGAACACCTATAATTAAGGATGGCTGATTCTGCGAGAGCATATTTTGATTTCTTTCGTGGCTTCTTAAAATCAGCTAGTAACTCCATTGTGCTCAGCATTGGTGACGTGAACGAAAAGTGCACGACAATTGAATCGTCCATTTCTTGCCTGAGAATCGCTGACATTTCATCATCCATATATTGCTCGAGTTCGGAGAAGTCAACAGGGCTTCGGCTCATAAAATTGGAGAAAATTTCATCCCATTCTAAATCATTGAGTTCATCAAAATATAGATCGTCTTCTTCCTCGATATGATTTTTGTTTTCGGCCATCTCCACCAAACTATTCGCACATACATAGCATAAAAATAACAGTTGATTTTCTCATATCTATCACACCTCTAACTCAATAAGAACAAGCATGACACGGCCAACCTTTCTCTAAAGGACACAGTCTTAACATAACCAACACTCAACCTGATACTAAAATACACACACATACACACACACACACACATATATATATTATCTTGTTATAATATCATAGTTCACTATAAATCATTAAAAGCTATATATTTAAAACTCAACCTGATACTAACTCAACAGTTATGTACAACTCATACAAAAAAATCTCCACTATAAAAAAGTCATCCTCGATTACAAAACGCTTGCACCCTACTTGCGATTCGCTGAAAAACTTGAAAAGCAAGTAATATGAGAGGAGCGAGCTACCATGGCTCAGTGAGTAATACATTTTTTCTAAATAGATCGAGCATCCACTATGCATGTTTAAGACGCACAAACATAACTTATTACACCAAAATTTTAAGATATAAAAAACCTTACACTCATATATCAAAATACTCATTTCAATCAATAATATCAAAATAAGCATCAATGGTTCAGTCCGTTGATCAATTTCATCGAAAATACATGTTAATAGTCTAATCCATTGGCCAATCTCGTGTTTAAATATCTAACTATACTCGCGGATAACGCTCCGTAACAAGGCGACCAAGTTTCCCCTTTGGTTAGATCTCCACCTACATTGCTGGTGACTTGACTCACAAGGATATCCTAGACTAGTATACGTATACCCATAACCCATCAATAGGATCACAGAGACATTGAGCATCAATACTTTGCCCACAACAACATCCTCTACAATCCACAAAGCCAAATCCCTAAACTATTACATATATCACAATACGTTTCTCAAACCAGTTCAGAATCCATTTCATGAAATATATTTAAAATTAAGGACTTCTCATGAGTCTTTCCCAAAATGTTTCGCAAATCCATTTACATATAATAAGCTCAAACCAAAATCAAAAGATAACTTTCCATTTTAAATAAACAAAACGGATGTAAATATTCGATTCATTTTTATGCAACCAAAATGCCATTTCTTATCTCATAATATATCTACAACATATCATTTTCGAAGTATGAGTTTACAAACTCAAAGAAGAAATAGTATCACTCACCTGGGAAAGTCGAAAAATCAACCTTTGGTGGTTACTCGAGCCGACGCACTCAAATACCTAGTAATTAATCAAAAAATAGTATAAAAAATCGAGTAAACTAATATTCTAGCGAGCGAATTGATAAAACTATGCTTATTTGTTGATAAAACGACACATACGCACCAACAACAAGCTTGCCCATTACTATCCGCAATACACAGTTCATACGACGAACTTGTTCGAGCCATAGCTTCCTCCACCATACTCCGTTTCAAGCAAACTTATAGTTCATAGAAAGCCCTTTCGACATACTACAAAACCCTTAACTTAGCCGACCCAAAAACTAGCCGAAAACCAAAGAAAGTCATTCCCGAAGTTACTATTCGTAGATTATACAATACACGCGGCCAACTCGAAAATTTCGTTCCGGGCAAAATGTTAGCTCGAATCAAGATCTGTAAAATGTTATAATTTCACCATACCCTAAACTTTCATTTCTATATATATACACAGCCCGACAACTCTTCAATTGGACGTAGAAACACAAAGAAATGGGCTGAGCTTTGGGCCAATATATTACAATATCCAAATCATAAATCATGTGCGAAAATATGCTATTTGAATAAATGAAAAGCCAAAAGTAATCAACTGATGATTAGCTCCGACAAGTGAAATTTTCAAAGCAAGTGCAAAATCAGAGAGGTTAAAGTGTTATGTATTTGGGTGTGAGAGAGAAAGGAATCTAAAAAAATGAAAGTCAAGAAAAAGCTAGAATAAGAGAATTAAATCCTTACTTGAGTTTA